CTCCCTCCCTCCCTCCCTCCCTCCCTCCCTCCCTTCCTTCCTTTTTTCCTTTCTTGAGAGATGTATGAAGCCTAGGTTAGTCTAAAACTCACCAAAAAGTTCAGACTGCCCATGAACTCACTCTAATACTCCTTCCTAAGCCTCCTGAGGCTAGATTACAGGCATTCACAATCCACACCAGATACCTAGTTAACTTCTTCTGTACACCGAGTTTGAGGAAGTGGCTCTAAGTTTTGTCACTTGGGACAGGCTATGTAGCAGTGAGTGTTGGTCCTTATTTAAGTACTCACTCATCATGGTTGACCTGCCACTGGTTTATGAAGATACAGCACTCCTTAGGAATGTGGAAGCCATTCAATGAAGTGTCCCTCGTTGTGCTGAGGAGAGAAGAGAGCTCTGTCCAGCTCAGGGCTTGGAGACAGTGTGGTGTGGCATGTTCCTCCCTCCACTGTATCCCAGTGTCTGATTACCACAGCCCCCAAACCCCATCATGGGAGGTCATGTGAAGGGCAGGGTACATGGGGATTATCCTTCCTTTTCTTGGGATCCTGTCCTACAACTTCAACACTTCTTTACTAGACTTTTCTTGTGCTTAGATGTTGGCAGAGGTTTCTGTCCCATTCGGTCCCAATGTCATCCAGTCACCAAGAAACACACAGAGGCCTACATTAATCATAGACTGTTTGGCCAATTAGCCCAGGCTTCTTATTAACTAACTCTAACATCTTACATTAACTCGGATTCATGTCTGTGTTATTTATATGGCTTGGTACCTTTATCATTGAGGCATTCTCATCTTCTCATCTTGACTCCTCTGTGTCTGGGTGATGCCTGCAGATTTAGCCTTTCTTTTTCCCAGAATTCTCCTATTGTAGTTGCCCTGCCTATTCTTCCTATCTGCTACTGGCCAATCAACATTTGATTAAGCTAATACAAATGACAAATCTTTACAGGGTACAAGATCATTGATCCACAGTACTCAGATGTGCACTGGGACAGTCTCTGAAGTCAAGGAACTTGGGCTGTAAATCTTACAAATCCTCAGAGGATGAAGCTTTACTTGGCCAATGAGCCAAATAGGCTTCCAGATGGAAGAACACATATGTGTCAGGATTGACCTTTGGTAAAAATTTGGGAGCCAGATAAGTGGATAGACACATTTCCAGGTAGAAGGTCTGGTTTAAGCAAAGTTGACAGGTGTCTGGATTACCCTTGTGAGGGATGGTGAGGAGGGCCTGGCAGGAGCAGACGATTCCATAGTGAGCAAACACAGGGGCAGGTGAGTGACTGCTGAGGCCATAGCGACTGGACTGGGTGGGGTAGACCGAGATTGTGGGGTCAGATGTAGAAGTTACCATGTTCAGGAATGAGATACAGCCCGAGTTGTTCCCAGAGCTCAGGAACAGGGTTGGTGAACAGTATGACAACTTAGGGGCACAGAACAGGGCCCTTACCTGTGGGGGATGGTGAAGGGGACAAAGGATGTGTATCGGTAGATCTCCAGGATGAAGGCCTCCAGATAGGGCAGCTGAGGTCTGTCAGAAAGCCGTGGTTGCCGGTCCTTGCCGATCACTGTGTCTGCAAAGCCCAGGCAGAGCTCATGGTGTGTTGTGTGCCCCACACAAATGTGTCCCTGTTATATTAGGGTCACTCTATGTTGGCCTATGTTTACTCACGTTTCTGAGACCCCACAGTCCACCCACACCTTCTGTGGACAAGTGGGGGATGCTATGTTCCTAGGACTTACACATAGTAAACACATGAACACGTATTTGTAGATCAACAAGTGACCTGGAGGTTCACGGCTTCTTTGACCTCAGGGTTGAGAGCAACACATACCCAGCTCCTTGTGGATCTTCCTCTGCACATTGGGCCGGGTCACAAGGAGCAAAAGGCTCCAGGAGAGGGCTGTTGTGACTGTTTCAAATCCTGGGCAGCCGGGAGTAGGGAGAAGGAGAAAAGACAACAGGGAGAAGGAAAAGATTTAAAGAAGCTTCGCCATAAATGGAGCAAGCCCTTTCTTCTCGGGCTCCCATCCCTGTGTATCCTGAGGGATCTTGAAGTCAAGCATGGTGGCTTATACCTAGAATCCCAACACTAGGGAGTCTAAGGCAGGAGAATTGTCACAAGTTTGAGACCAATCCTGGTGGGATACAAAGATGAGACCTTATCTCAGACAAAACAAGTAAGAAGCAACCAAATAAAGCAAAGAAGAACTTATAAAGACTGGTTTCAAAGACAGCTACTGGAATTATACCTGGCCTCCAGGTTGTAGAAACCTTTCACTTTCCAGGTAAGGGAACCAAGGACCCAAAACAATAGGGACCTGGTTGAGTTTTTCCCAGGAGTTAATGGCACATCATGAGGTCACACTTGTCTCTCCTGTGTCAGCTGAGATGTGGTTGATGTGTTAGTAGATAGAGTGGGTATGGGTAAATAGCCACTGATGGATAAAGATGCAGGGGCATGGCTCCTACCAGCTCCAAAGAGGTCATTGACAATGTTGACAATCTTCTTGTGAGGGATTTGGACACCGCTGTCTTTGGAATTCTCAGTGTGCTTGAACAGGGCCCCTGTGATGTCCTGGATATTTTTCTAGAGGACACAAGTTTAGAGGAACTTTAGCATTTTAAGAGCCAAATGCCAGACCATGCCCCATCCCATTTGAGATGTCCCCAGTGCCTAGGATCTGCCTTGCCTTCCGCACACTGGGCTGGGACTCAGAGTTTTGAACTGGCATCAGCCGTAAATAGACCATAGACATTTCCTGTGCCACCAACCCTTCTTCCCCTAACTCCAGGGGTCGGGTTTCAGAGAAGGAATAAGATTGTGTGAACCCGGAAAAAAAAAGTGTCCTGAAGCTGGAGTTTAGCTCCTGTTGAGGTTCATGTTCCTGCAGAACAATAGCCTTTAAATTAACAACACCCCGTATTGCAAAGCTCTGCCAAGGTTCCATTCACCTGCCTTTGTTTTCTGGAGTCTGGAGAAGCCCCTGAGGGGAGCGGTAGGTCACAGGCCTCTGAGTGATCCTGAGCCTTCCTCGTACTTGGCAGCACATGGCAGTACTGTGGAGTAGGATGTGAGGGGATGTTCTCTGGTCCTGTGAGTGATGGGTTTACTATCTGCCTCCCAGTCTCACCTTGTTGAAGTCTTGATAGTGCTCCTGGACGGTCTTCTGTAGGAACAGCAAAAATTTATCATTGAAGTTCTTAAACCTCTTGAGGGCTGGGTTGGGCAGGTAGCGCAGGATGGGGAAGAAGTCCACAGCATTCCCTGAGGAGACATTCTCCACAAAGTCGCTGCTGCTCTTCAAAAGGCTCAGCATCTCTTCGCTCTTCCGGGGGAAGTTCTTCCCAAAGCACATGGTTCCAATGACGTTAGTCACTGATTCCACCACTAAATTGACAGGTTCGAAGTGCCCAGCTTCTGCCATCTGCATCTGGAACTTGCTGACTAGATGGTTAGCCTCCTTGTTCACATGCTCCTCTAAGTAACAAGAGGATGAAGAGTTTGGGTCTGAGGCTATGGAGAAACTCTTCAGAGCATCCATGGCTAGGCGGCGGCGTGCAACCCACACCGGTCCAGTGTCTTGGTTAAAGGTCAAGCTCTGGCCATCAGTGATAAATGTGAAACTGTAGAGGTCTGGTCGGCCCTTGAAGTCATCTCCCTGACGCACCAGGGCCTGCCGGATGGTGTCCAGGCCACTCAGCACCACCACAGGTGTGGAGCCGATGCGGATCTGCAGCACGTCCCCATACTGCTTGCTCAGCTTGGTCAGTGACAGGTGTGGGTTCTTCCCCAGAGTCAGCATATGCCCAATGATGGGCCATCCCCAGGGTCCAGGCGGACTCTTCAGACCTTTGGGGACCCGAGTTCTTAAAGCTTTGATCACATAAAATACTATACAGAAGATGGCAGTGGCCAGTAGTAGCTCTGGGGTCAAGGAGTTGTTCTGGGACAATGCCATCTGTACCGGCTGCAGGGCAAATGGAAGGGTGGAGTGGTTTAGCATGGATTCTGAGCCTCCCTTTATTCCTCCACTCTCTCTTTCAGGCGGCACACTTTCTATGTTTGGCTTTTACCCACACACCGGGACAGTGAAGATAGACCTGTCATGTGTCCTGCTCCCTCAGGAATTTGCCCTCTCACCCCATCACAGAATTCAAGGGCTGCAAAAGAGCCTTACAATCCTTACGTTTCCCAACTTTAGTGTCTGAATTTCCACCCCAGGCTCTCCTGTCTCCCATTTCCATTTCTGAGACTGCAGTGGATGCAAATGTCCATTCCAAAACAATGAAGTCAAAGACATCTCCTCACCAGCCCCAATTACAGAGTGTTTGCTGGGCTTTCTGCCAAAGGGCCTAACACAGTGTGGGCTCCCTGTTGGAACCCTCTACAACCCATGGATCAGAAGATGTCCCCTTGCCCAAGCAACAGAAGGTCAGTATCCCTGGAATCACACCAATGACCTGTGGTATTCCCCTCCGTTGATGACTCTCTATCGATATCAAAGAGAAGCATCTCCTCCAAAAATTAGTCTTCATTGACCTCCATGATTGGAGGTTGCAGTAGCCTACAGCCAGGTCTAAGGCTCTCCAATGCCAGGCAGGTGTTCTTATCTACTCACTCCAAACAACTGTTCTTAGAGAGAGCCTATCTGAAATTGTTTAATTAAAGGGAGGAAGCCAGTGAGATGGCTCAGTGGTTCAAAGCCCTTTCTGTCAAGCATGACAACCTGAGTTTGATCCCTGGAATTCACGTGGTGGTCAGAGAGAACTGACAACTGAGAGTTGTCCTCTGAGCTCTAGCATCCAGACACACAACAAACTGACAGATACACATACACACACAGACAAACAGACACACACCAGACACAAACGGGGGGGTGCTAATATCCAGGGCTGAGAAGCAAGGAACAAAGCCTTAGATCTCCTTTTGTCCCTACAGGGTCCCTATTTCTCTATCTCTAACAGCATTTAGGATATAGAAGCTGATGTCATGATCAGGAAAGACACACAGACATACCTAAATGGTAGGAGCTGGAGATCACTGAGTTGTAGGAGTCAGTCCAGAATTTCTCGGTTCAGATGACTGGGCCTTTTATAATACCACCCTCTCTGGGCTGACCCAACCGTCCAGGTCACTTGATATCAAAGCTGGATACTGTGCAAAGTTGGAAGGATCAATTCTTGGCTTTGGGTCAAGATGCCTTGTCTCCACATTCTATTCAAGTCACAGGAATAGCTCTTTGGGTCAGAAGATGTTCTGATTTGGTGGAGATAAGTATCCATGGCATTTTAGGGTTCAGGGTGTAAAAATTAAGTCTCTGTACAGTATTTTTTGCACTGTACCATAAATAAAGGTTCAATCTAGACCCCAGGCCAGGCCAACCAGGTGCAGCTCATGCTCCCAGTAAAGGCAGAGAGGGAGTTGCATTATTCTATTGACTTTTCTCCATTGACAAACTACCTGATGAAAATAAGTTAAGGAAGGAAGGTTGCTTTGACTCACAAGTTTGGGAGATACAGCAGCAGGAACATGAGTCAGCGGGTCACATTGCATTTGCAGCAAGGAGCAAGAGAGATGAATGCTGCTGCTAGTGAGTCTCTCTCTCTCTCTCTCTCTCTCTCTCTCTCTCTCTCTCTCTTTCTCTCTCTTTCCTCTCTCTTTCTCTTTCTCTTTCTCTTCAACCAGGGGCTGAAGCCTAGAGATGATGTAATCTATTGTGTGGTCCAAGTCAGAATGGGTCTTCTGTGTGCAGTTGAACTTTCTGGAAAGGTATCCCTTGAGGCATCTTCTAGGTGACTCTAAATCACATCAGGATGACACTGGAGATTAACCATCATGGGTATGTTCTAGCTACCTCAACTTGCCTCACCCCTGTGTGTGGCGCGCGCGCGCGTGTGTGTATGTGTCTGCAATTGAACCTACATCGCAAACATATTTGATGAGGACTCCAGCACTGAAATGTGTTTTGACTCCCCCCATCTTTTATTTTCTTTAGAAATTTGTATTTCTAAAAAGAGACTCTCTCTACACCCTCCTTCTAGTTTATGATGGTAAGGAATTAAAAGCCAATGGAGAAAATTCATGGCATGAATTGCTGCTTATAGAAACCAGCTTGGACTCATGGTCAACATCATTGGGCAGGGAAGCAGGGGAAGCAACAACAAACCAGACAAGTTCCACAACCAAGAGACAAAAGAATGACATTGCAAGAGTCTTTAAAAAGCAAATAAATGCAATGTATCGACTGAATTAGAGTCTATATTTAACAAAAAGCAAATTTTAATTTCCAGAAGACATTTTTGGAAAGATAATTCAGGATTCATGGATATGGCCTGTAGAATAAGCTACATTTTGAATGAATACCAGTTTTTTCAGATGTGACATATAATCATGCTTACATCATACCTTAGTTACTTATCTAGTTCTGTGAAGACACAACATGACCAAGGCAACCCTTATCATATAAAGCCTTTAACTGAGGGCTTGATTGCAGTTTTATAGGATCAGTCCATGCTCATCATGGCAGGAAGCAGACAGACAAGGCGCTGGAGCAGTAGCTGAGGGGAGCTTTACATCCTTATCCATAGGCAGAAGGAAGAGAGTGATCAAGATTGGGCTTGGTGTGGAGTTTTGAAACCTCAAAGCCCTTCCCCAGAAAACACAACTCCTCCAACAAGACTACACTTCCTAATTCTTCCCAAGCATTTCCAGTGACAGGGAACCAAGTATTCACATGTATGAGTTTATGGGGGCCATTCTCGTTCAACCTGACATTTGTGGGACAATGTTCTTGTTCTTAGGAGGTTAAAGCTGTCTGCTTTAGAGGTGGAGTTTCATGATGCCTATAACCTTTCAAGTGGTTCTGTTAGGAAGGTCTAGAAAAACTACATGTTGGGACTGTTGAGATGGCTCAGTGGGTAAAGGTGCTTGTCACCAAGCCTGATGACCTGAGTTGGATCCCCAGGAGTTACATGGGAGGAGCAACTGTCCTATGTGATGGGGGATGTCCTTCTGTGTAGGTGTTGCTTTTATTGGCTAATGAATAAGGCTGTTTTTGCCAATGGCCTAGCAGAGTAAAGCCAGGTGAGAAATCCAAACCGAGATAAAGACAGAAAGTAGGCAAAGTCAAGGAGACACCATGTAGCTGTCAAAGGAGACAGACACTCTGGAATTTTACCAGTAGGCCACAGCCTTGTGGTCATACACAGATTAATAGAACTACATTAATTTAAGGTGTAAGAGTTAGTTAATTTGAAGCCTGAGCTAATAAGCCAAACAGTGTTGTAATTAATCAAGCTTTTGTGTGATTATTTGGGCATCTGGGAAGTGAACAAACAGCCTCCCTCTGCACCTATGACCTTCACATGTGTGCCTTGGCACATTCTCATATTGGCAAATGTGTTCTCTCTCCCCTACACACACAAGTACACAATAGATAAAATTTTAAAACTTTAGAAAATATGAACCAGGCAGTGGTGGTGAACACCTTTAATCCCAGCACTAGGAGGTAGAGGTAGGTAGATCTCCAATTTGGAAACCAGGCTGGTCTACAGAGAAAGTTCCAGGACAACAAGGGCTACACAGAGAAATCCTGTTTAGGAAAAAAATAGAAATATATGTATCATTAATATATACATATACATATATATGCACACACACACACACACACACACACACATATTCTGGGCTGTCAAGATGGCTCAGTGGGTTAAAGTGCTTGCTGTCAATTCCAAAGACTTGTTTCCCTAAAACTCATATGGTGGAAGGAGAGAGGAAGAGATCCTGCAAGATGTCCTCTGAGTTCCATGTGAGCACCAAGGAACACAGACAGACAGACAGACACACAGACACACACACATACAGAGACACACAGACACACACAAACAAAAAGCCCCAGGATCAACTTGTTCAAGTGTCAAGGATGTGTTATGGGATGATTGTTAAGTGTGTGGTTTGCTGTAATTGCTGTAATTGATTCTACAAGAGGTTCTGGTTTCTATGTTCAGATACCAAAGGATTTGAGCAAAAGTGGTAACAGAAAGCTTTTCACACTCTGGAAGGCACAGTGGGGAAGAAGGAGTTGAAAGAATCAAAAACCAAAGAGGACTCCATTCTCTAGGGAGCAGTGATAGGGACCTTGATGAGACTGTGACCATGGTGCTAGACAGATGTCAGAATGAACAGAGGTGTTCTTGGCCCTGCAGTCTATTTCCAGCACAGAAACCTGAGTGATCTTGCTCAGGATGCACACCGCAGATTCTCTTCTTCCATGGTGTGAGGCTATTTCTTACACTGGGGCAAATGTCAGGAGAACATTCCCCATTCCACAGCTCTACCCATAAGCAGTTCTCTGGAACCACTGTGTCTAGGAGGTGTACCCGCTACAGGTGCATCTCCAGGTAGCTACTTGAGAGGCTTCATTCTTCATTCCACACTTTTATCCCTGCCCTGTGTCATCTCAGACAGCATCATACCCCTAGCAACCCCACTGCAGTTGTAAACTGACCTCTGTTCATCATTTTTTGTTTTTATTGACCTTTTTTTTTCACTATGCCAGTCTCTGTGTTGTGTTTCTTATCAGCTGTCTTCCCCAGCAGAGGATAGCTCCATCAAAGGAGCATTGATTAGCATCCTGTACGTAGTAGGCACTTGTGAATATTTTTTCTTTTCTTTTTTTATGTTATTGAATTATACATTTTTTCTCTGCTCCTCTCCCTGCTTCTCCACTCCCCTTCAACCCTCTTCTATGGTCTCTATGCTCCAAATTTACTTAAGAGATCTTGTCTTTTTCTACTTCCCATGTATATTAGATCCATCTGTCTCTCTTAGGGACCTCATTGTTGTTTAGGTTCTCTGGGATTGTGATTTGTAGGCTGGTTTTCTTTGCTTTATGTCTAAAAACCACTTAGGTGTGTATGTATGATAATTGTCTTTCTGGATCTGGGTTACCTCACTCAATATGATGTTTTCTAGCTCCATCCATTTACCTGCAAATTTCAAGATGTCATTATATTTTTTCTGCTGTGTAGTACTTCATTGTGTAAATATGCCACATTTTCTTTATTCATTCTTCGGTTGAGGGGCATTTAGGTTGTTTACAGGTTCTGGTTATGACAAACAATGCTGTTATGAGCATAGTTGAGCACACGTACTTGTGGCACGACTGAGCATCCTTTAGATATATACCCAAAGATGGTATTGCTGGTTCTTGAGAAAGGTTGTTTCCTAATTTTCTGAGAAATCACCACACTGACATCCAAAGGGTCTGTACCAGCGTGAATTCCCACCAGCAATGCAGGAGTGTTCCCTTTTCCCCACAACCTCTCCAGCATAAGTTGTCATCTGTGTTTTTGATTTTGGCCATTCTTACAGGTGTAAGATGGAATCTCAGAGTTGTTTTATCTCTGATGACTAAGGATGTTGAGCTTTTTTTTTTAAGTGTCTTTTAGCAATTTTAGATTCCCCTGTTGAGAGTTCTCTGTTTAGGTCTATATTCCATTTTTTTAAATTGAATTATCTGTTCTTTTTAATGACCAATATCTTGAGTGCTTTGTATATTTTGGAGATCAGACCTCTGTCTGATGTAGGGTTGGTGAAGATCTTTTCCCATTCTTTAGGCTGTTGTTTTGTCTTGTTGACCGTGTCTTTTGCTCTACAGAAGCTTCTCAGTTACAGGAGGTCCCATTTATTAATTGTTTCTCTCAGTGTCTGTGCTGCTGGGGTTATATTTAGGAAGTGGTCTTCTGTGCCAATGCATTCAAGTGTACTTCCCACTTTTTCTTCTCTAAGGTTCAGTGTGGCTTGCTTTATGTTGAGGTCTTTGATCCGTTTGGGCTTGAATTTTGTGCCTGGTGAAAGATATGAATCTATTTTCATTCTTCTACATGTTGATGTCCAGTTATGCCAGCACCATTTGTTAAATATGCTTTCTTTTTTCCATTTTGTATTTTTAGCCTCTTTTTCAATAATCTAGTGTTCGAAGGTGTGTGGGTTAATATCCGGGTCATCAGTTCATTTCCATGGGTCCTCTTGTCTGTTTTTATGCCAGTACCAGGCTGCTTTCAGTAATGTAGCTCTGTAGTAGAGTTTGAAGTCAGGGATTATGATGCCTTCGGAAGTTC